TATTTAACTCAGTAAAACTACTAGTGTTCAGGAGAAAATACAAGGCAGTTGTAAATGTCACTTGTTTTACAGGCAGGTAAGTTGTCAAACTGGACAGAAACTCTTCCCTTTTCCCCTTCCCAAAGTTTAATTTTCTTCCAGTTAGGTGACCCCATCCTCACCCCGCTGTGCATGTCAGAGGCACAGCAGGACTCACACAGCTCTCTCTTACAGATTCATCCCGTATTGCTCAAGTGATGTTTGGAGCGGTGCCTCTTCCAAGTCTGAGAAAAGTGAGTGTTGCTGATGGGCTGTTGCTGCCCCAGACATCACACATTAAAGGATGTGGCCAGACTTTTGTGAAACCACATGGATGAAGAACAGGCTTTTTCTTGCTGAAGGGCAGGAAAGAATATCAAGCTACTTCCAGATAAAACATCCTGATCTCTTTAGCTCAGGCTGTTTTGACATAGTTCAGAGCCACTGCTTGCAGAGATGTTACACTGATCTAGTATGCGAGGATTAGAAGAACAAAATTCCTTTTAGTTGAATATCCAGGTTCTAGCACGCAGCAAATTAATTGGTGTAGCTGAGCGACCGTGGCCTGTTGCGTGTGACTTTGGCATGGCTTACCTGAGAGGAAGGACTGTGAATTTAGTGTCAGACTTTAATCAGGAGGGTATTTGGCCTTAGACAGGAGCCATCATGTGTGAGGCTAAAGCCGTCTGCAGGTTTCTTGGGAATCGGAGAATAGTTCATCTCAATCCATGCATTGGCATCGGCTGTCGTTCTGGTGATGGCACAGGTACCCTTTCACTTCATCCCAGCTCCTTGGAGCTGTTGCTCCAAGTATCCACGACTGCTGGTGGTACCAAGGAAGTGGTGTCTGTGTAGGTGTAACACTTTGTGAAGCATTGCTTGTCTGAATTGGCTTGATAAATGGGGAAAAAGGGGAAGCAGTAAGTTGGAACTGAGATTCCAGGTGGTAGAAAGGTGTGTGTGTTCCTCCTGTATGGAGATAGGGTCCCAGTACCTTCCTTCTTGTTTTCCTTCTCTAAGTTTACCCATTTCTAAGCACTATTGTAGGAAGGTACTTGTGTAATTGTGTATTCAGATCACTCTATTCACTTTCTTTCAGGGAAGCAAGTTTTGTATGGGGCAGGGAGAGTTTCTTAGGTGTACTTGGTACAGGTGGATAAAATGAACCTGGGTTAGGTTCGTAATCCCTTTGGAAAGTTCTTAAGCATTTTTGGAGAGGAAGTAAAAGTCTGAGCCTGGAAGGAAACAATTTTGTTGACACTGAGCTGTCTCTTCCAGATGAATATGCCTTCATGGGAGCACTGATCATTCAGGAGGTTATAAAGGAGCTGGTGGGAAAAGGTCTGAGCACTGCAAAAGTGTTGCTGCTAGCGGGGAGCAGGTAGGTATCCACCAGATTCCCTTTGGTGAGAACAGGAGATTTCCACAGTAGAAAGCTGTTAGGAAAGGTAGCTTCTAGGACTACAGTAACACTAATATAGCAAACCCTGTATCTCTTCTCAGTTTTCTCCTCTAAGGGGTACGACAGGGGAGGATACAATATTATTTCCGCAGCTTCCGGTCCAGATAGAACCAGAATAAAAACAGAAAACAGAGAAAATAGTAACAAGACAAAAGCTTGCAAGATAATAAGATAAAAGTTTTGCGTTCTCTGCATCAAGAATGCTGGTTCCTGCTGGCCCACATCATGAGACACACCCTTGCTGCAAATTGATTCAAGACACTAAATTCAAAACCAGACTTGCCTCACACAGGTGCACTAGATTGTCCCGTGTTGCACAAAGCTCTGGTACACTCAGCATATGTTACACAGGGGTATGATAGAGAAGCTGCAAAGGGTGAATTCATCTCACTTCAGATTCTTTCAGTCTATTGAGCAGCCAAACCTCTTGCAAATGATACAGAGCATATATATCTGCCAGAAGAGAGCATAACAACAGGACTTGGTTTCTGAGGTACCAGATGGTTACTCAGCATAGTTACTTTATTTGTGAGTGTTTTGCAAAGCCAGGAAATAACGTGGTGACTACCAATGTCATGGTGAATGGTTGGGTATCTCTGCTGTGGGTAAATGAAGGTGTTTATAGTATGTCACTGCTGGCCAGGTGTGTGACACCTGTGTGTGCCTCATGACTGCAGTGTTGACGTTGCTGTTGCAGTGCTGGAGGGACAGGAGTGCTCCTGAACGTGGACCGAGTGGCAGAGCAGCTGGAGGAGATGGGTTATCAAGGGATTCAGGTTCGAGGCTTGGCAGACTCTGGATGGTTCTTGGATAACAAACAGTATCGCAGAACTGACTGTATCGATACCATAACGTGTGCTCCAACAGAGGCCATCAGAAGAGGAATAAGGTACAGTCAGATACTCTAAAGTACCCTGCTGTAAGAGGCTAGATTGTGGAGAAGATGTCCTCCTTCTCTATCTTCCTTCATTTTGATACTTAAAGAGTATTTATTCTCTACATCAGAGATTTTTCAGTAACTTTATTGAAAAAGACAATAATGTAAAATCTAGACGTGTAAAAGAACACGTGCAGTTGCAGGTGCTCTAAAATGTGTCGATGGGACAATGTAGCCAAGAGAGAGCTGTGCTATCAGTTGGAACTCTAATCAGAACAGAAATAGACTGGGATATGGAGAGGCAGTTGTTAGGATTGCCCTGTGCCTCTCATTCTGTTATTGCTTTGTTTCCTAGATACTGGAATGGCATTGTTCCTGAACGCTGTAAGCTGCAGTTTAAAGAGGGAGAGGAATGGAATTGCTTTTTTGGGTATAAGATTTACCCCACTCTTCGATGTAAGTTTCAGAGGAGAGATATAAAATGAATTCTAAAGTTTCCTCTGTATCTGCAACTGTCTTGGAGCAATCTCTTTTTCAAATTTTTTGTCTTCCTAGGTCCAGTCTTTGTTGTCCAGTGGCTCTTTGATGAGGCCCAGCTTACTGTAGACAATGTACACCTCACTGGCCAGCCTGTTCAAGAAGGGCAGTGGCTCTACATCCAGAATCTGGGTAGAGAGCTGAGAAACACCTTGAAGGATGTGACGTAAGTGTTTTCTTGAGGAAAACCTGGCGCATTTGTTTCTAAGGGACATTCTTGTCCAGTGTCCTGGCATTGTTTCTCAGATCTCTGCTGAAAAAGGAATATTGTAAGTTTGATAACTATTAGCTCATCCACATCAAGAATCTTGCCTTTTTCATTTCTGGGTAAAATTCCATCTTCTCCCTAGTCCAGAATGTTCTGTTCAGCAGGAGTTGCTTTGTCCTTCAAGACGTAATCCACGTTTCCTTTCTTTCTTTAGTGCAAGCTTTGCTCCTGCCTGTTTGTCCCACGAGATCATCACACGCAAGTGAGTTCTTGTGCAGATCCTCTGAGAGGTGAACGGGGACGTGGCTGGGGAACGAGCCCATCCTGGCATCCTGACCCCTCTGATGAGACCTGTACGGTTTGTCTTTTCAGTCACTGGACTGACATCCAGGTGAAGGGGACGTCGTTACCCCGTGCCCTGCACTGCTGGGATCGGAGCCTGCATGAGAGCAACAAAAACGGGAAGGCCCCTCTGAAAGGCTGCCCAATTCACCTGATTGACAGCTGTCCATGGCCTCACTGCAACCCCTCGTGCCCCACAATCAGGGACCAGTTCACAGGGCAGGAGATGAATGTGATCCAGTTCCTCATGCATATGGGGTTCGATGTTCAGAAGATGGCACAGCAGCAGGGCCTGGAGCCCAGTAAACTCCTGGGGATGCTCAGCAGTGATAACTAGGGAGGGCTTGTCAGAGGGGCAGAGATTAGATCAGGAGGAGAGAGACTCTCGGCCCTTCTCCCACACTTTCTAATCTTCTTCCTTGCGCTCCTGCAGGCAGATGCACGCTCACATCCAGGCACGCTCACACCTGTGCACACCCACGTGCTCCCACGCTCTTGCACACTTTAGGGTGTGTCAAGAACAAAACAAAAAAAAAGCAACTTCTTGCTTACGCTGTTTGGCTGGAACTCGTTCCCTCCAAACTCCAGGGCTGAGTTTCAGCCAGTCACATCCTCTTCCTGTGTTACACAAGGCAATCGGATACAGGGAGTAGCAAAGCCATAAATAGCAGCGATGAGAACCTTTCCCAGATCTGGGACGTCTTCCCTTGCCATGAATTTTACATCATAGACTTGATACAAGTGGTGTAAAAAGCAAGCACTGGATTTCTTCTGTCCAACTAGAAGTGAAGGAATGATTACATGACTTCCTGGAGGTCAGCATCTCATGCTGAGTCACAGTGTACAGACCCAGGACACGTGCTAGGGATGGACACTCTTGTACTCAATTTATTCGTATTATTTTATAAAATGACTTTTTTATTACTTTTTTTTTAACTAAGCAAGAAATATAAATGATATTGTTTTGTAACATATTTTTTTTTAAATAACGAAGAAACCTCTTGCTACTTTGGCAACGTGGACATATTTATTTTAATATGTAAAATGCTATTTATAAGGGCTGACCAGAGAACCATACCTATGTCTTTGTAAAGTTGTATATGCTGCTCATTTGGATGGGTTATCCTGATGGTCACTTCTGCCTGGGAGAGGGCTAAGGGTGGTGTTGACAAATTTTTATTAATTAGACTTCTGTGTTCCCCTTGCAGTGTTCCTTGTTATTGTTTCTCTGATGAAGAGGTTTAACATGAGGTTTAAGTACAGAGACTTTCAGCCGGCACCTGATGTTTGCAGACTTCCACAGCATTTTTGGCTTGACTGTGATTTCCCAGGTACTCCAGGACACTCAGTTGAATGGTGCAGGGAGATCTGGCTTTGCAGTAAAGGCCTGTCTTCCAGCGAGGGAAATGTTTGATCAGACTGTCAGAAGCATTTGGAACAGAAAAGGCAGCACAAGACAAGCATCAACGTATTTCTCTTCTTGTAGTCATTTGGGAACACACCCACTTCAGCACAGAGAATCCCCTTTGATGGTAGGGGGAGGAGAGCAAGTGAGGGATTGGGAATTCGTAGAAGAGACCGTTCCTGGGGTGGGAGCTTCCCTCTGCAGCACAGGGTGTGGGGAGACTTGCATGAGGAGTATGGCTTACTCCCTGTGCAGGAGGTCCTGGACCAACTGTGTGTGGTTATGCAGTGTGTAGGCCACAAAGAATTCAGGCCTTTTTTTAGAAAAATTCCCTGCACTTTCAAGATGGGCCTTACGAGGTTAAAATGGTGGTGCTGTTTGTGAGATCCCTTGTCTTGGGTAAGTAAACCCCAAGAATGAACCAAACCACAGCCCTTTGGTTCCTTTTCAAGGGCTTCGGGAGAAGTTGGGCAGGAACACGGAGGGAATCAGCTGTCCTGCTGAGCGTGATGGGATTAGCACACACTGAAGATAAAAAAGTAGCTAAAGAGAAAATGAATGATACTGCCAGCAGAACTGAAAAGCAGGAAAACATCAGTGGAGTTTCCCTATGATCAGTTTGGTGATTGCTGATATCCTTTATGTTTTAATGACTTGGGTATGAAATTGTCCTGATTACGTTTTTCATCTGTTTTCTGCTGTGCAGAAGCCACTGACAAAAGGGCAAGGCTGGAAGAATTCAGTACCAAGTGTTTGTGCTCTAAGATCTTGCAACTAGATGAGGTTTTTTGTCTCAGAGGAAAAGTGGCTGTGGTCCATCTGATGCACTGCTCTGCTGGTGTGATTTTGGGGACCTTTGCCTTCTGCCAGCACTGCCTTCAGCACTGAGGGCTCTCCAGAGGGCACCACTTCTCATGGGAAAGCAGAAGCCAAGCAGCAGGACCAGCTCTGCCCCCCCAGCATCACCAGTTGGTCACAGAGTGTAGGGCAAAGGGGGATGTGTCCTCAGGTGGACTGTGACATGGAGTGACCCTGTGCTCTCTGCTGGTCCCTGGGCAGGTAGTAAGTGATGACCAGGATATGCCACAATACAGTCAGTAACACACTGCCAATGAGGCCTGGAAAACAACTTCTAGAGGTGAAGAGAGAGGAAGGGCAAGACTTTCGGGGGAGAACCTCATCACCTGGAGCTCCTCAGCTCTCCTGCTGCATTTCCTGGTTGTTGTGATGTTAACTGTGCAACTTCCACCCCAAATGAATACAGGTTTTGTACTTTTAGCACCAGAGGTCTTAAGGAAAATGGGAGGGACTTGAATGAAAGAGACACTGAGGTTACAAGACGGTGTCAAAACTGAAGGTAGGCACATTTTATCCTAAGAGCCACAAAAACTGTACTGTTCTTATGTGAACTGTTCCATAAAGTTATCCTGCTTCCACACTGGGATTAGCACTGCAGATGAGGAGTCAGCAGTGCTGCTGTGGGGTAAGGGAGGAATTTTTCTACTCCGCTGTGGTTTTCATTTTTCCCATTCTGAAACTACATCAGAAATTTTCTTCCGGGCTTTTAGAGTTAGAATTAAGAGACTTCTGGGTAGAGACAAAGTTTCGGGCGTTGTGTGCCAGGCAGGCTCCCTGTGGAAGCTTTGATCCCACAGGACGGAGGGTTTGACACAATATATTGAAATCTGTATTCCAAAACAGAGCTAAGAATATCAAAGCAATTTTTTTTTTTTAACAAGTGTATTTGATTGTGGCATTCGGAGATACGAGAATAACTGGTCTCCACATAAGTAAAACAGAGACAGGGATGAGTTTAAGGAAATGGTGAGGACTGGCGTGCTAAACCTTCACAGCCACAAGCTCTCACTAAAGCTCAAAGCACAGCAGGTAAATATATTGCTGCTCCAGATCTACTGCAGCAAAGTGAGTCAGCTTTTATCCAGCCTCTGGCCTAAATCCTTTCTTTCATAGGGTTTGTGCTGCCTTTGGGCTTGTGCCCCTACCCTTGGGTCTGCAGGACTGAGCTGCTGTTCCTGCAGTGTGGCCGGATCACAGCCTTGTGCCACAGTCAGCCCCCTCCCTTCAGTGCGGGGGTTGCGGGGGGGGAACGGCAGCATTCCAGTGACCCCAGAGTTTCTAGAACAGCAGAAGGATAATCAAGAGCCTCTGGTGGAGCTCGCAGCTTCAGTGTTAAATAACACCGGCTCCCAACAGCTGAGGGGGGGCAGGACTCATTCCAGAACTATTAATAAAGCCCCTATTTATACTCCAGGTTCCTGCAAACGGTGCAGCAGAAAACTACAGCTGCGGAGCTAAAATGGAATAAATGTCAGCCTCCAGGGAAAGCACCATCCTGCGGGAAAGGAGACCACAAAAGGACAGCACAGGGGCAGGTTTCAGACCTGAGGAAGCAGATCCAGCGGACGGCAGCACCCTGAGCTCACAGCCGGTGGGCAGAGCCAGCCAGTCACCTCCCTGCAGCCGCAGGTCTGTGCAGAAAGCTGCCAGAGCCGCGGCATCAGAGGCAGCTCCCACTGATGCCGGCAGAGACCAGCAAGATCCGAGCTGCCACTCCACTGAGTTGGGACCAGGTGTGACTCAGAGCAAAAGAGCAAAAGCCTGAAAGGGCATTTGAGGGGGTTTTTGCCTGCATTGTCTGCTGGACTGGAAAGATGATGGAGAGCACAGGAGGGCCGTATCTAAACACGGCTGCAGTGACCTCCCCTGTTGGAATAGCTCGATTGCTGCAGATGACCTTTGGATGCACCACGTTCAGCCTGGTCGCCCACCAAGGCGGGTTCAGCGCTGCCTACGGCACCTTCTGCATGTTCGTCTGGACCTTCTGCTTTGCAATCACTGTGTTCATCATCACCTGTGAGTTCACACACCTGCACAGCTGCCTGAGTCTTTCCTGGGGAAACTTCACTGCTGCTTTTGCCATGCTTGCCACGCTCATGTCCGTCACGGCCGCGGTGATCTACCCGCTCTACTTCGTCCAGGTGGGCTGTTACCCCATCGGCTGCGAGGTGAGAGACTTCCGCATCGCAGCCAGCGTCTTCGCGGGCCTCCTGTTTGTCGCGTACGCTGCCGAGGTGTTCTTGACCAGGGCAAAACCGGGACAAGTCACCAGCTACATGGCCACCATCTCCGGGCTCCTGAAAATCGTTCAGGCCTTCGTGGCCTGCATCATCTTTGGGGCGCTGGTGAACGACAGCCAGTATGGCAAACACGTGGCGACGCAATGGTGTGTGGCTGTCTACAGCTTTTGCTTTGTGGTGACAGTGGTGGTAGTGGCCTTCAGTGTCACAGGCAAGACTGCCTTGCTGTGGTTCCCCTTTGAGCGCTCTGTGGTCATCTACACCTTTGGGGCCGTGCTGCTCTACGTGAGCGCTGCAGTCATCTGGCCAGTGTTTTGCTTTGACAGCAAGTACGGCTCCCCACAACGCCCCAGCCTCTGTGCCAAGGGCAAGTGCCCCTGGGACAGCCAGCTGGTGATCGCCATCTTCACCTACGTTAACCTGCTGCTCTACGTCCTAGACCTGGCATACTCCCAGCGCATCCGCTTTGTCTCACACCTCTGAAATGGGTCAGAGCCGTCCCGGCACTGTGGAGCCGCTGTGGTTGCAGAGGGATGGGCCATGAAGTAGAGAGGCACCGGGCAAAACCATCAGCCAAACTTCGAGGTGAAGACCGACTGCATTAACAAATTAATGACCTGGAGTGGGTGGGCTGCAGCTGATACCAGGCACAGTCCACCTCCCCCATGGTTCTGCCCAACCTACCTGGTGCCAGCACGAAGGAATGACACAGCTCCATGTGCATCTGCAGACAGCAGGAATGCTTGCAGCCAGGGCTGCAGGCTACCAGATTACTGATCCAAATATTAGGAAAGACGCCAAGGATTTTGAAACTGCTACCAACACTTAACAGGAACGAACTGACTACCCAGGAACTCAGAAAGTTAAAAGCTGCATCAAGGAACACCAGTCCTGGAGATGAAAACCAATCCCTCGGAGTTTGGGTTAGTTTGGGCAGTGTGGTGAGACATGGAATGCCTGCAAGTGTGGGCAGTTCCAGCTGGGCCATTTCTGAGAAGAACATCATAGCTGTAATAGTATTTTGAAGGTTACCAGTCCTTTCCCTTCCTCTCCTTCGCTGTCTAGCACAGAAAAGGAGTAAACTCAAGCATGTACCTTGGAGGAGGCTGGGTATTATTTAGCAAACACTAAGTCACTACAGAAATGAAAATTTGCAAAGCTGGGTCTCTGCTGCTGAGAATCAAGGTGCAGAGCAGAGCCAACCTGTGAAGTGACTGTGTGTGACCTACTGTCCTTGCTCGAGCAGCACAGAAGGTACCTCAGCACAAGCTCTGTATTGGTTTATGGGCCGCTGTTTCTTTATACTGATGTCAAGATTTTTTTTTCTGGAAGCTTAAGGATAAATTCTGGGGAGATAGGAAAAGGAAGGCAGAGATTAATTGAACTCACAGTGCTGCACAAGAGACCAAAATGGGTGGGGAGGGGGCATGGACAGGACGGGACATGACAATATGCACACGCTGGTAACAGACTGGGAGCACTGCCCCAGAGCAGCTCAGGTGCAGGATTCCTGAGCCCTCTGCATTACTGAGGAGCCACATGTCTTGGACCCATCCCTGATAAAATACCCACTTTTAAGTCCCACACTGCTCAGCTCAGATTTCAGGCTCAATAGGAATCTTCATTTGTTCCAGGGAGAAGCCAGAATGTCCGAGTGCTTGTGCAGCACATACAGGCTCAGTGCTTTGATTAAAATCTCCAGTAGCTGCCTGTGAGAAGCAAGATTTATTTTTTAACCAAATTAAAATAAAGCTGAATGGCAGATGTACACATACATCTCCTGAGATATGTATGCTGTCACCCTGCTCTCCACACTTCCATTGCAGCAGATACAGCCCCTCTGCTTTGTGCCCAAAAGCAGAGCTCAGTTTATTTTGATGTATGAAGGCTGAACACAGAATTAAAAAAGTACAGACACGGGACAGCTGAGACCTCTGAGTGGATTCTTTGCAGCACAGTCACTCAGGAAAAAGGAAGGAAACTTACCTTTCATCAGTGCTTTGTGCAGGGTTTGAAAAGCAAAGAGAAAACTTGCTGGGACAGATTGTGTTGGATAATTCTGTACTGAGCAAGGACCAGCCCTTAGCAGTGGGGAGCATTAGCCAGGAAACAGGGCAAGAATTGGGATCCAGCGAAAAGGGAATGCATGGAAGAGCCTTCCAAGGGGGTTTTCTCTTCTGCAAGTCCCCATGAAGGGCAGGCAATCTGGAAGATGTGGTCCAACAAGAGGCTGCTAAGGCAAGACCCAAGACTATTTGCTATAGATATAAATCAGGAGCTTTATTTCTTGCCACCCAAAAGACTTATAGGTTGTACAAGTACAAAATGCTGATTTGGGAAAGGAAATCCACTTGTGTTGGAGGTGGCAGTTTACAAACAGCCACTGCACACTAAGGGACCTCAAGCATTTATGATGTATTCCTGTTAAAACCATCAGTGTGAACAAATTAAGCTGTGTCACACTTGAAAATTACTTGTTTTTTTGTTATTACAGAGCACTAAAAACCAAACAGGTGCCTGTGAAGCACCATGGCTTCTGTTATAGAATTCAACCCTGCAAGTCCAGGCAGGTTGCTTGAGGAAAGCCCTGTCCTGCAGGCCCTGGTGTGGCTCTGGGAAGCTGGGAGGGCAGGGAGAGGGTCACCAGCCACAAGTGCCTGCAGGCTGGGGGTGCTTGGCCCCAGATGTGACATTGGGCAATGGCATTGGCAAAGTCGCTCGGGCAATGGCAGCTGTCAGAAACCTCCTCGGCTGGTAGCTGTGGTTCAGCCAGGCACTGCTGGCTTCTTGCTGGGAAGATTTTGCACCAAATAGGAGCAGGAGCAGCAACGTGATAAAATCTGACAATGACATGGAGTTGATGTAACTTACACTGAGCCAGGGACAAAGAAAGGCCAGAGAGAAACAGGTACGTGCGAAACAATGGGGGTAAAATTGGGTGCCTTCACAATGAGGAGAAAATTTAACATGGAAATCATGATCCCACTGACTGGAGGAGTGAAAGACAAGTCATTGCCAAGAACAGTGTGTTCAGATTTAGCTTTCTCATCTGCCAGCCAAAGACTAAGCAAAAAATGTGAGCATGGTCAAAATGGCAAAAAAAGATTGTGTGGACAACAATCCTTTATTTTAGGAGAAAAAAAATAATAAAAAAAATCAAAACCTCATGCTTTAGTGGTTAAAACACTCCCCAACCATTGGAAACTATGAGATTGCCCAATCCAGGGCAGAGAACATCCAGTATTTGCTCAGCAGGATTTACCAACCAGCTGTGTCATGATTCAGTTCATCAAAACCCCTTCATTTCCAGAGTGTATCTACCTCCTTAATTAATAGGTGAGGATCAAGTAGATCACTGTGAACTGGGCTTCATGAGACATCAGCCATTCCCAACGTTTTTGGTAAGCTGATGCCAGGATGTGTGTGTGTTCATTCAGCATTACAACTTGTGTTCACAGCCAATCTCGACAAAGCCCAGAGGATTCCAGCCTGGACAGATTGATATAAAAATCTGAATCGTTAACACGTTGGGTTTGGTTTGGTTTTTCCCTTCTCCTTCTGAAGCCTTTTGGTTCCATATCGCCAAAAGACAGTGTTTAGGAATATTCGCTCGCAGGAGAAACACTGAGATTTATTTCTGTCAATCAAGGAGCAAGAAAAAAGACACACACACTGAAAAGAAACCAATACAGTAAGATGACATTCAGGAAAAAAAAGCACTGCTCGGTGCCTGGGATTTATAGGGACACTTCACACCGTTCCGGTTCCTCGACAGCCCGGGGCCGCGGGGCTCGGAGCGAGGCCATCCCCGGTGCTGGGGCAGGCCCCGAGGCCACACTGCCCCAGGCCCGGCTGGGAACCGGGCGACAGACACTGCCCCGCACTTCACGTGCGGGAAAATCCCTCGGGAAACCTGCGGGCAATTCGCAGAGCACAAGGTGCCGCCGCTCCGGGACCAGCGGCCGCCGGGCTGCTCCCGCAGGACCCGCAGGGCGTCCCGGCCGAGGCGGGTGGCGGGGAGGGGGGGACCCTTGGGTGCGGAGCAGAAGGAGCGCACGGGGGACCCAGAGCTGCTTCTGGCGCCAGCTGCGCCCCGGCCCCACGGGACTTTCGCGCTCCGCGGGCCGGTCCGGGCCAGGCCGGAGGGCGGTGCCGGCGCGGCAGCCCCGGGAGCGGCGGGGCCGGCACTGCCCGAGGGGCCCGGTCCGGGCCAGGCCGGAGGGCGGTGCCGGCGCGGCAGCCCCGGGAGCGGCGGGCCCGACTCGGCCCCGCGGACGGTCCCGCAGGATTACGGCGGGCGCACAGCGCCGCCTGGCGGTTGGCCACGGCCCTGCGCGGCCCCGCGGGCGGCGAATGATGCAACACCCGGGTCCGGTTGCCCCAATAGCTGGCGAGGGCCGCGCCGTTGGCCCCGTTCCTCACCGCTGAGTGGCCGGAGGGCCGGCGTGGCCCCGCCCCGCCGCCCGCCGATTGGCTGCGCGCCGCCGACGCGCCTGGTGATCCCGCCTCCCTGCGCGCGCGGCCACGTGGACGGCGGCGGGCCCGTGTTCGGCGGGGTCGCATCGCACCGGCCATGAGCGTGGGCTTCATCGGCGCGGGGCAGCTCGCCTTCGCCCTGGCCCGGGGCTTCACGGCGGCAGGTGGGCGCGGGGCAGCTCGCCTTTGCCATGGTCCGGGGCTTCGGGGCGGGCGGCGCCGATCCTCCGGGCTGATGATCGATGCCGTTCGCAGGGGTCCTGGCTGCGCACAAGATCACAGCGAGCTCCCCGGACACCGACCTGCCCACCGTGAGCGGGCTGCGGGTGAGTGCGGACGGGCGACGAAGTCCGGGTTGCGGTGCCGCCCCCCGGGTCCCCGCGGACCTCAGCGGTCCCGTTTCTTTCCAACCGGTGCAGAAAATGGGCGTGAACTTCACGGTGAGCAACAAGGACACGGTGAAGAGCAGCGATGTCCTCTTCCTGGCCGTGAAGCCGCCCATTATCCCCTTCATCCTGGAGGAGGTGGGCCCCGACATCGAGGCCCGGCACATCGTGGTCTCCTGCGCAGCCGGCGTCACCATCAGCTCCATCGAGAAGGTGAGGGGGGGCCGGGCCGTGCGATGCCGGCCGTGAGCTGGCCCCACTTCTCTGGCCCCTAGGAACCGATGCAAGGGACAGGCATTACTTGTGCTCCTCAGGACTAAAGTCACGCAGCAGCAGCCAACTGGTTGCTTTCGGTCACCTTGCCTGTCCTCATCAGAAAACGCTATTAGAGGTTTTATCCAACTCTTCCCTCACATAAGGTGCTGTCCGATCATGTTTCTCTCAACTGCAGTGGGTCATCACCCCTGAATTTCTGCTGACTTTATGCTAAGTGTCTGCAGGAGCTGTTTTGGAGACCTATGGGTTGATGTGGGAATGAGGCCTTTGGGATACTGTTCCCAGCCCGGCTCTGCCCAGGTCCCTCTTCGCTGGTACTTCCGAAGGCTTCGCATTCATATATGGGCTACTGTGGCTCAAAGCACGGTCTTTAGGGTACCAAGTCTCTCTTTTCCCTTTGCTTGTGTTGTTCTTGCCCATTGGGAGTTCTTTCCTGGACAGCCCATTGATGCTAAATGTGCACTAAAGCTAATTTTTCCCCTTATTTGTTTTCTTCCTACTTTCTGTCTCCAATTATTTTCTGCCCTAAGAAACTCTGTACCTTCTGCCCCACACCAAAAGTGATCAGGTGCATGACCAACACCCCTGTGATTGTCCGGGAAGGTGCTACAGTCTATGCCACTGGAACTCATGCAGATGTGGAGGATGGGAAGCTCTTGGAACAACTGATGGCCAGCGTGGGCTTCTGCACCGAGGTGGAAGAGGACCTGATCGATGCTGTAACGGGGCTCAGTGGCAGTGGCCCTGCGTATGTATGTGCTGTTTCCTCAACTTGTGACAGTCTCGGGCAGAGCAGTTGGCTTTGCCCACTGTAAAGCCTGTGAAAATTCAGCTTGTTATTTCTTGTTTTTCCCATCACTCACATTTGCAATGGGACATGTAATGTGGGTATCCAGTTTACAACCATTTTGGGTCAACTGAAAAGGTCTGTTACCAGTCAGATGAGTCTGAAGTGTGAGCCAGTGTGCAGAGTCCATGTGTGCATGTTGTAAAACATAGGCCTGTAGTTAGCATGATGCAGAAGCTGAACTTCTCCCATTCCCCCCAGTCCTGAGCTGGAACTAGTGGGAGGGAAGGCTGACATGGCACCCATGCAGTAAAGGGGGAGGCTTTTGTCAAGTCTGTAAGTGGAAGGAGTCACAGCATGATCCTGGATTCTCTCCTACCCGAGACTGTCAGTCCTGGAGCAGAGACTTGCAGTCATGTTCTTCCTCTGTCTGGTCTCAGGCGTTCACTGCCCTGGATGCTCTTGCAGATGGGGGAGTGAAGATGGGCCTTCCCCGCAGGCTGGCTGTTCGACTCGGAGCACAGGCTTTGCTGGTCAGTATTTCCTCCTCCAGAACAAATCTGAGTCTGTGCTTGCTCTGTGCAGAGGATTCTGCACGTCATGGTTTAGATTATCTTGGTCCTTTCACTGGATCTACATTAAAGAACGTGTTTGGTTTGACTGCGCACAGATTCCCAGTGAGGGACCATAGGAAGTGTCCGCAGCAATCTGCTGGCACTGGTGGTGATGTGGGAGCTGGGGCCTGGGAAACTGTGGCTCTCTGCAGGCTTCTTCAGCTCTGAAAAGTGTTTTGGCAGCCTGCAGGAGCCCAATTTTGTCTGCTGTGAGTGTTGGTGCTGCTCCGTGCAGTGGAGAACAGGAGTGTGTGACAGCGGCTTCCTCAGTCAGAGCTCTGGCAGCTGTTTTCCTTGCTACAGGGTGCTGCCAAAATGCTGTTAGAGTCTGAGCAGCATCCTGGTCAGCTGAAGGACAATGTCTGCTCGCCCGGGGGAGCCACTATCCATGCCCTGCACTTCCTGGAGAGTGGTGGCTTTCGCTCACTCCTCATCAATGCTGTGGAGGCTTCCTGCATCCGGACAAGGTGGGCACCTAGGAAGTCCTAAAGAGCCTTAAAAACTTGCCCCCCACCCTCCCCATGTTCCTTTTGCTGTCTTCCTCTCCCACCACCTCATTGCAGGGAGCTTCAGCATTTGGCAGACCAAGAGAAGATCTCCCCGGCAGCCATAAAGAAAACTTTGCTGGACAAGGTGAAGCTGGAATCTCCTTCTCTGTCTGTGGCATCCGCTAGCAAAGTCAGTCTGTTCACCAACAAGAGCAAGAAGAACTGACCAGGCTGCTGTAGTCTGGCAGTGCTGAACATCAGGGTCTTGGCTCTGGCCAGGACAGGGTTAATTTTTGCAGTAGCCAGGAGGGGCATGGCCAGGACCCGCAGGTTATTCTATACCACCTCAATGCCATGTGCAGGGGTGAGGGGAAGGGCAGAAGGGTCCCTTCTGGTTGGTAGCCTGAAGCGAGCAGTCATTTCACATGGTTAAAAATCGTGTGCGAATCGTTCGCTTCTCCTGTACACTCTTATTAATATTATTGCTGTTGCTGTTTGTTTCTTATCTCACTGCTGTTTCTAGTAAATTTTTCTTATCTCAACCTATGATCTTTATATTTTGTGCCTCCAGTTCTCTCCAGCCTGCTGCAGCAGGTGGAAGGGGGAGTAAGCAGTGTGTGGTTTGGAGTGTTTCAGTGGAACGCTAAATTGGGGAATAGTATTACTAAACAATAACAGTCAGTCTCCTCCATGCTATTTCTCTTCTGTCTTAGAAAAAATGCTCACTCTGAATGTTGCTGTCCCCAGTATCTGGCTCATGGCTTGCAGCAGTTGTGGGGCAGCGCTGTAGCAGAGGGTCTTTAGCCTGTAGTGGAGTTGGTGCAAACTGTCTCTGGCATTGGTGTTCTCTTGGGCAGGGGTGATACCCTCGTCAGAGCTTTATCAAGGACATTGTTTGTCCAGAAGCCTCCCAGGACTCAAACAGTGTTCATGGTGTCCAATGCAGAAATGGTTTCTAACAGGATTTTTTAAGATGTTTCAGAACTTTTAGTTTTGAAGGTTTGAAGGGATCCACCTTCTTTCCCCATCCTGCTCCTGCTGTCAGAGCTTCTGTGTTGTGTCTGTCGTTATTGGCTGCAGCAGACGCTGCTACACAAACGGCGCCCTATGGGTGCCTCGGGGGCTCGGCCCAAAATCACCCCTCGGCCGGGGCGTGGCCTGGCGGGGCGGGGCCGAGCGGGGCGTGGCCGGGCGCACCCCCTCCCTCCCCCCGCCCCTGGCGGGCGCGCGCGGCCCCCTTAAGGCCCGGGGCGGTTGCGCCGGGCGCTTCATGAATGGAGCCACGTGACCCAAATATCACGTGACGCGTCCGTGAGCGGCGGCGGCGGCGGCGGCTCGCGCGTCCCGGTCCCTCCCAGCGCGGCCTCCCCGCCCCGCCCGGCCTGGCCCGTCCCGGCGGCCCCGGCAGGAGGTGAGCGCCACCGGCTGCGGCGGCGGGCGCGGCCCTGGCACCGTGCGGGGCGGGGCGGCGGGCCGGTCCCCGGGGGGCGGGCCGGGGCGGGGCGGGCGCGGCGGGCCCAGGATGGCGGGCGTGGCGGGCGCGGCGGGCCCGGGAAGGCGGCCGGGACCGCCGCGTGTCGGCAGCTGCTTCGCGGGGCCGCTACCGCTGACTCACGGCGGGGGCTTCGGGGCCGCGCCCGCCTGGCGCCGCCCGCCCCCGACCCCTCCGACCGGGCCCCGCTCCGCGGCCGAGCAACAGGTGCGCGGGGTCGCTGGCCCGGGGCCTGTCCCCGGCCCCGCCCGCCCGCTCCCGGGGCCGCCCGCGGACATCACTGGCGCGCCCCGCCCCTCCTGCCCGCGGCTGCCGCCGGTCCCGGTCATCTCGCGTACCGGCTCTCCTCAGGCCGAGCCTGTCCGTCCCGGTGCGCGTGCGACCTGGTCCCCGGGCCCCCTCTCCCCGAGCCGCCCCCGTTCTCCGTGGTGGGTGAATCTCCTCCCGAGGAGGGCACGTCCAGGAATGTGAGGAGCCACCGGGTCGTCTCGTCCCGTTCCCGTAGCAGAGGCTGGGCCACAGGCAGAACAGCCCCCCTCCCCACGGCCGGCTCCTCGTCCTCGGGCTGCTCGGTAACCAAGGACGTGTGGCTGGGAGGTTCTGGCTCCTGTTCCGTGGGGGCTGCCTGGTGCTGCAGCGTCCCCGGAGGGGAGCGGGTTTCCTCTCCCGTTGGAAGTAAGCTGCTCCTGTGAGGCTGCAATTCCTGATCGACACGGAGGGTCCAGTGGTGTGTGTGCACGGGTGGGTCTTACTGTCCAGAGCTGAGGACGTCTCTGGCAGCCCGGGATACATGAGGTTCGAGCTACATGGTCGGAGGAGGGCACTGCCGTGGGCTGGAAGGGGTCTCTCAGAACCGGCCCTTTCCTTTAGCTATGTGAGCAGAGTTAAAGTCAGCTGGATGGGCAGGTCCCTTGAGGGAAGAATTGTTGTCAAAGTGCCCAGGGTTGGATGAGCTCACCAGGGACCCCCAGTGAGCGGGGGACACAGGAGAAGCACTGTCCTGACTTCATAGGTGACTGGGGGAATCATGAAAGGAGACTCTGTGATCTAAGTTGCCAGAAAGCCAATAAGCGGAGTATGAGATCTCCCCTGGGAGAGAGTGTTCCCGTGTGCTGTGCCCGCCCGGTGCTGTGGAGCCCATGGGGGCACAGCCCTCGCTCAGCCCACGGGCCTCCTGCCTGCGCTGGAGCGGTGACGTCACCGTGTTTACACGGGCTCGTGGCAGGTTCTGCCATCAGGAATGTGGAGAAGGCCCCGCGTTGAACCGTGCGTGGTGCTGTCAGCTCTCGTGTGCAGCCGCTGAGCTGAGGGGAGAATTGGCTGCGCTTGTGCTGAGTTCAGGCCTTTTGAGCTTGGGAGAAATGTGTCGAGGCTGCAGTTTCTTCATTGCAGTCATAGTGTTTGGCACTTTTCAGCGTGATTTTTCTTCAGGAAGCTATCCTGAGCCATCAGCAGTCTGAAGAGTTATGCCAGGTTTGGTCCCTGCTGTGGTGCCAGTTCTCTCTGTGATCTGCCAAACAGCCCAGTTCAAATGGGACCTGGAAAATAGCCAGCAGCTCTCTGAGTTGTTCTTCCTATTCTACTGACTGTCTCAGGTGTTGCTGCATCTCATTTTGCTCCCCTTGGGAAGTGGGACGAGGAGAGGTGGTCTTACCGGGTGCTTTTGGGGACAGTCCTGTTACAGCTATGATGGCTGTTGTGGGAGGCTCCTGCTTGAGAGGGTGTTGCATTTAAGAGTGCAGAGGCAGGAATGAGTCGCTGCCTCTGCTGTGTCCGGCTCTGCCAGCATCTGCTGTTTCCCAGCCTGCTGAGGAGCTCTCTTCCCAGTGCCCTGCTTGATGCATCATATGTGTGCCTTGTTTATTTCGGGTCTGCTGTAATGAAGGCAGGGTGACTACTTGCCAGGCAGCTGGAAATTCCTTAGTGCCACAAGGCAAACAAATTCCCATGGTCCTGCTGACCGCACCTGCCCTCAGCTCCTTCTGCTGATCAGAGGATGGGGCATGTTATTGGTCTCCCCAGCTACTCCCTTCCTTCTCCCCTTTTCCCAGCAGCTGTGTTGTTTACCGGGTAGGAACAGAGGAAAGAAACATCGCAATTTGGGAAAGAGGGAAGAATTGATTTTCATGTTGCTCACATGCTGCCCATCCTGCCTCTTTGCAGCTGCCTTCCCTGGGTGGCAAAGTGACCCTGCCTGTGCTGGTGTGGTCGGGTGCAGCAGACGTCTCATGGAAGGAGCATTGTCCTCTGGCTATAAATAGCCTGGCTCCTGGCAGGCCTCAGGCTTTGGGAACAACTCTGCTGGTGTCCTGGGGACTTCTGGCCCCGCTCACCTCCCATGGGTAGTAGATGCACTGTGGGGAGCCTGTGCCACCGCTGCTGGAAGAGCACAAAGTCTTATTTGCTGACTTGTACATCTGATTATGGGCTGTAACTGGACATCAGCGCTGCTGACAGCAAGGCAGGGGCAAATAAAAAATTGGTTTTTGACACTGAGAGATGAAAGGGACAGAGGCACCTGTAGGCTGCACAAGAACACTGACCAGGGCTGAGGGGGTGACGGGTGCAGTCTGGGCTGAGGAGGGTGCAGTCTGGGCTGCTGAAGGCACAGCCATGTCTGTCAAATAGTATCTGTGTGGATCAATTCCTTAGTAGAGTGTAGTAGCACTCCGAACTAAAAAGCCTGAGAGGAGGAGGTATGTGGGGAAGAAGCAGGAGCCTGGGTATAAGTCTGTGTAAAATCAGCCCTGGGAACTGCTCTTACCAGTATTGCTCTGAAGTCCTGTAGTCTGTAGCAGGGAAGGAGTTTGCTCTCATCTGGTTTTGTCACCTTTAATCTGTTTTCTTGTGAGCACACCTTGGCTCTAAAGATAAGGAGGGAGAAGGTGGTTCTGGGCCCTGGCACTGCTAGAGACCAACGGGGACTTTCTTACAGAAAAGCCTGACAGCTAGGGACAGCTTTGAGTGACTGGGAGAGGTGAAGGCTGCTGAGGCATCAGCCCAAATTTATGATGGGACTCCAGTGTGTCCAAGGCTTTCCCTTGCCCAGGGTCAAGTCTTCTTGAACCATACCGGTTGCGTTCTGGGGGACACCTGGAGTCCGGTAGGACTGGGGAGCTTCTGAGCTGTGGTTGGGAACCTGTTGGAAGGGTGTGTTTGGGTGACAAGGATGAGGCTGGGAGCAAGTGGTGCAGAGTGCCAGCCTGCTGAGTCAGCATGACTGGCCTGGAACAGCCGTGCTCTGGACCCTGCCTGCTGCCTGCCAGGCTATTTTTAAAAATGTGGCTTCCGTGTATTCTGACTCCTCCTAGTTTTTTAATTTCCCCCACCGCAAGCAAAAAACCAGCATTGCCACAAAGTCTCTGGGAGCAGGGGTGTGGAAGGGCAGCAGTTTCTGCTCAGGAACAGAGTCTGCTTCTCGTGAGTCCAGCTCAGCCGGCTTCTTGTCAAGTGTCCTGCGGGGAGGGGGAAGCAGGATGTGCAGCAGCATGGGCCATTGCTGGTGGACCCTGCCAGAGGAATGCCGTGGGCTCTGTTGTGTCCCGGGGGCTAACCTGGCCTTCCTTGCCTTCCAGAACCTGACTGTCAAGGCTGTCGTGTTATGACGACCCCCAATAAAGGAAACAAGGCCTTGAAGGTAACGCAGCGTGTGGAGGAAAGGGGCGTGGGGGCAGGTGTAGGCATCTGCCCCAAATGTCACACGTGTGTGCTGCTTTCTCTCCCAGGTGAAGCGGGAGCCAGGCGAGAATGGGACCAGCTTGACAGATGAGGAGCTGGTGACCATGTCCGTGCGGGAGCTGAACCAGCATCTACGGGGCCTGTCGAAGGAGGAGATCATCCAGCTGAAGCAGCGTCGGCGCACACTGAAGAACCGGGGCTACGCAGCCAGCTGCAGAGTCAAGCGTGTTACCCAGAAGGAGGAACTGGAGAAGCAGAAGGCAGAGCTGCAGCAAGAAGTGGAGAAGCTGGCCTCTGAGAACGCCAGCATGAAAATGGAACTCGATGCTCTCCGCTCCAAATACGAGGCTCTCCAGAACTTCGCCAGAACCGTGGCCCGGAGCCCCGTGACCCCTGCGCGAGGGCCTCTCACCTCCAGTATGGGGCCCCTCGTCCCTGGCAAGGTTGCTACTACCAGTGTCATCACAATAGTGAAATCCAAAACGGACGCCCGGTCTTAGTGAAGCGAGTGCTGCCTGAGCTTGTCTGTGCAGGGCAATTAGGCACAAAACCAGCCTGGAATCCCCAAAGCACAAACCCTCTCCACATGGGTCCAGGTTCCTTCGACTTGGCCCAGGACTGGCCCGCTGATAGCTCCAGTTTATTTTGTTGTGTCCAGATTGGTATGAGCAGTGGTGACGCGTCCTTTGTCCTGTGCAGACAGAGCCTTCCACCCAGCCGTCTGTAGCCCTCGGGTGCCCTGGGGATGGACTGTGAGAATTTGGTTTTCTGCCCAAAGAAAGTCTGTGCAGCATGGCTGATGGAAGGGCGGGGGGGTGGCCCAAGGGAGGCTTTCTTCCTGGGGGCTGGGAACCCTAATTTTGGTCACTTCCAAAGGCTTTATTTAATGACTATTCTGGGTGGTGCATCTCGGCACATGAACCTGCTGCTTTTGTCTCCTTTGGTACCCGTAGTTGCAGTCGGGATGTTCTGTGTCGTAGGTTTTTATTCCTTTCTAGGTGTGCCTCTGTGCCCTAACCGTGGGTTTCCCTCAGATGTCCGTGGCATTAGCTGTGTAAACTGGCAGTGGTGGGAAGGATGACACTGCCGTGCTCTGCGGCTGCAGCCCCAGCGCCAGGGCCCTGCAGGGCCCCGCACCCTGGGGAGGGAGGGAGGGACGGTACCGTGTGGACTGCAGGCCGGTTTTGTGCCTAATGTGTTGCACTGAACAAGACCAAAATCACTAGTTGTTCCCATGTTTTGAGGGTATCAAGTGTCTCTAGTGTGATGGTTTACACAACCAGTTTATGTGGTTAAATAGCCCTTTATTTAAAGAGAGAAACATCATTTTAAGATTATTAAATTATCTAAGTTTAAAATTGGACAGAAGAGAGAGCGTATTTATAGTCAGCTTTTTTTACCTGAGAAGGAGAGAATATTTGACCATATGAATGGGGAAATATTCTCGGAGACTTTGCTAGTTAAAAGTTAATAAATAAATAATTTTAAAGTTTCTCATGAACCTCCCGCAAACTGTTTGTGGCTCTGAGGTTAGTTTTTATAAAGAGTTCTCAGACTTTATTTATAAAACTTAGAAAAAGACAAAAAAAGAGGCAAGTCCTGTTTGATATCTTTTTGCAATTGTACCAAAAGTGACTTATTCTTGACCTTGCTGGCTTCTGTCATGTCCCCTCATGTTGGGTGCTCTGCTCCCTGAGCTCTCTGCAGCACTGTGCTGGAGCCGGTGCCTTTGCCGTGTGCTGTCATTTCACACTGTCGTTGTTTTCCCTAAACTCGACTGAGAGATTGAGTTGGAATCTCTCTGAATTCTCCAGAAGAATTCTGGTGCGCAGGCAAAGGTGCTGCTGGTTTTGAAAGCAAGACTGGCTGGCTGGTGCAGTGATGCCTTCCCAGATGTGTGCAGTGGGAGCATGGGCAGCTCCTGCTGAGCAGCCGACGGCAGGTAACTTGGTTACCTGGATAGGAAAACACTGCGCTGTCCTTCCTGCAGCAAAGCTGGCAGAGAAGTAACATGAGGGAGGCTTGTCTAGGTTTAGAAGACTGATGAGATTTATCTCTGGAATTAGATCCTGTGGTCAGAACTTGTGTTGCTCTCATGGCTCCCTTGAACAAGGGGGGCAGGTCTGCCCACTGGGCAGCACGGGACCGGCTGGTCCCTGGTGTCTGTGCGTTGCTGGCCAGTGAGCTGTGGCAGGGTCACTGTCCTTCCTGGGGCAGCTTCCACCTGGGGGCTGGGAGAGTGCTCAGACTCACAGCTGTGACATGGTTGAGAAGCTGTTTGTGGTGAGGCTCCATTTCCACAAACACTTTGACCCCCTTCTCCCCTTCCCAAAGATTTGAGCTGATTTACTGAGTTTTAGAGAAACAGGACATGAGGGTGAAGCCCGTGTGATCTCCTGGCTGCTGAGGGTCATCTGAGGGGAGGGGACAGACTGGGATGGCACAACTGAAGCTGCAGTCTCGTGGGGAGGCACAGCCATACTGGGTGGGTTTTGGGGATGTTTCTCATGTTGCTGAACTGATACTGCTGTCCCCTGGGCTGAGGAGCAGATCAGCCTGAGAAAAGCTGCAGTGTGGCAAGAGGAGCAGGTAGTTGCTGGGGATTTCCTGCTGGAGGAGGAGATCAGCTTTGCTCTGAATGAGTGGGAGTTTAGGGAGGTGTTTGGGATTCTTTTCCCAGTGAACTTCCCGAATGGGGAGCAGGTTAGAACATTGCCTCCAGACTTCCCCCTTCCAGCCCTGGACTTTCTTTTCTCTGAGCTGAAGTATCTGACATGCCACTTCCAGCCGCACCACATGGGCCATGCATTGTGCAGCGCTCAGCATGGAGCTTTGGGCTCTGGCCTTTGTCTTCCAGCTGGTGGTGTGGTGCCTGGAAGAAGTGAGATTTTCCAAAACACAGTTTTGGAAAAAAATAGTCCTGGGTTGTCAGTCCCAACCCTGTCCCGCCTGGACCTGGCCTGAGACTGAATTGGCCAGAGCGCTTCAGAACCCAGCTGAGGCCTGAGCTGGCTGGGCCGGGTGAGCAGCAAAGGTGTGCGTGGGGCTGGTTCAGAGCTGAGCTCCACAGCTGGAGCCTCTGGTTTGAGGAGGGCCCCATTGACACAGCAGGTGACGATGGGTAGCCCTAGACCATGGAGGGCTTGCTCCCTTTGTGCTCTGTGGCAGGGAGCGTGTCCGGTCCTTCCCTGCGGTGCTGCTCTGCAGTGAGGCAGGATAGGGCCGGCAGCAGCACTGACTGCACCAGATGTTAATGCTCTTGTTCCTCCTGCCTGCACTGTCCTTGCTTGCTTGGAGCCCCAGCCTGCTCCAAGTGGGCCTGTGTGTTCGATGAGGACTTGCCATGTGGGGAGGAGCGGGTGAAGGCCATGGCTGAAGGGTGTGGATGTGGTAAACAAGCTCTGTGGTGCTGGGCTGGATGTCAGCGAGTCCGCGGTCCCATCCGAGTGCTGCTTCCCTATGGTTTTGCTTTTGATCTCAGTGAAGTGTAGGACCCCGAGTGTTGTATTTCTGCAGTGTCCAAGAAGTCTCCAGTCCCCTGCCAGCTGGCTTCCCGTGCCCGTGCGAGGTGGCCCTTGCCCAAGCTGTCATGCTGACTTCTCTCGTATATAGTGTTCTGGAGTGTGACAATTCTTGTTCCTGAGGTGCTCGTCCGTTTGGTTTCCTGCTGTGAAGGCTGTCGTGTTTTCTTTCTTTTCCTGGTGCTGTTCCGGGGGGTTGGGGAAGGGTCCTGGTCCTGCCCCAGCCTGCCCGGGGAGCGTCCCCGGCACCCCCGGGATTTGTGTATCTTGTGAATTGTGTACAGTCGCTCCCGGACGGAGCCGGGGCTGGCGGACGGCGGGGTCAGCCCGGAGGGCCCCGGGCTCGGTGCAGGCGGTATTTATTGCTAAGTTATTGGCGTTATTTATTCTGTACAGTGTCCGCCGCCTTTGTACGCGACAATAAACCGCTTCAACAGCCGCCGCCTGCGCGTCCTTTGGGGGCCGCCCGGCGCCAGGGGGCGCTGCCGCGCGCGGGGGCGGTGAAGGAGGCGGCGCGCGGGCGCTCCGGCCGGAAGGCGGAAGCGGCGGAGCCGAGCCCGGTAGCGGCGGAGGCGCGGCGGTTCCGGGCCGATGGCGGCGGGCGGCAGCCTGAGCCGCTCCGAGCGGAAAGCGGCGGCGCGCGCCGAGATCCTGCAGCAGGAGGAGCAGCGGGACCGGCGCAGACAGGTATGGCACGGCCCGGCCCGGCGCGACCCGCCGTCGCGGGCCGCCGTGAACCACCTGCTGTGCACCGGGCAGGTGTTCCGCATCTGGAGGAAGCCGCCGGCGGAGCGGAGCCCCGAGGAGTGCCAGGTGCTGAGCGAGAGCGAGGACATCGTCCGGGAGCTGGAGCGGCGCCGCAAGCGGCGCGAGCGGCTGCGGCGGCGGCAGGAGGAGGTGGGCGGCGGGCCCGGGGGAGCGGGGCGGCGATGGCGGGGAGCGACCCCGGCCGCGGAGAGGAGCCCTGCGCTCCGGGCGGGACGGCAGCCGCCAGGCTGGCCATTGCGGGGGAACTCTGCAGCCGCAGCGGGCCTTGGTGAACAACGGCCGTGCCCCGGTACCGGGAACGCGGCTGCCCTCCCGGGGCTGCCCTGCGTTTGTCTCCGGTGAGCCGTAGTCTAGCGACTGCCAGGAGTCTGGCTGTGTGGGCACGTCTCCCGGGAGGGTGGGTCAGCAGGTCCTGCTCTCCAGGAAGCTTTTTCCCGTGATCCTCCATGAAAAGCACCCATATCCTTTTCATTTGGACACCACTGCTGATCATGTTTTGTTGCTTTTCCTGGGCCAAGCCCATCTTCAAACGTCCAGGGATATCCCTGTTCCCTCTGCCTCAGTGGTGCAGTGTATCTCCGAACCATGTGAACCTGCTCAGGTGTGTTTTTTCAGGTGTGTGATGAACCAGAGGAGCTGAGGAGAAAGGCAGCTGAGCTGGCGGCAGCTGTGCGGAGCGCCAGGCACCTCGTCATCTACACGGGTGCCGGGATCAGCACGGTGGGTTTTCGGGGGAGCAGCCGGAGCCCCTTTGGGGGGAGGGTGTTGTCTGGACTGTTCTGTGGTTCCTGAATGGTCATGGAGCGGATGTTTGTGATGAGTCCAGGATGCTGCGTGAGTCTGTGGCCAGCACAGTGCCTAGGCTGCATCTTGGTCATTCCTGCTGTCCAGGAGATCCTGTGGCCTGAGCAAGTGGACACTGGTCATACCTCACTTGAGTCCCTTCAGTGACTTTTGGTGTAAAACCTCCAGCCGGTTAGCTCAGGAACATCGTGTGTTATTAGACATGCAGGGACAGCTGGGGGGTTGTTGGAACTTACAAACAGCAGTTTGAGAATTGTTTGGTTTCAGTGGCCCAGGGGAAAGTAGAAGTTTGGTTCTGCCTCTTCTAGTGTGACAGCTGTCACCTTTGTGTGAGCTGTGAAACTCCAGTCTCTGCTGACTCAGAGAGTGGCTCAGGGCAGGGGCTGAGTGCTCGTGTCACCCACACGTTTGCTAGAGATGCTGAGTGTGCAGTACCAGAAACCAGAGTCTGGAGAAAATAAGAAAAGGCTTAAGAATGGAGTTCTTTGCAGGGAAATGGGAAGTAACAAGGGTGAAAAAGAGCTCTGGAGGGATTCCATAATGGTAACATTGGAGAAAATAAATGCTGGAGGTGCAAATGAGAGTTGTAAGGTAGGAGAAGAGAGAGAGAAAACACATGAAAACACATGAAAAAGTTTTCCTGTGATTAGGGAACCACTGTGATGGAAAACTTGGAATGAATGAAAAAGCAGCCATAGATAAGGTGTCTGTGGTTGTCCTGGGTGGGCCCAGGTTGGTTGTGTTTGTGTACAAGAGCTGTGACCCCCCCCCATCAGGCCTTGTTTTCTCTCCTGGTGACAGGCAGCTTCGATCCCGGACTACAGAGGCCCCAATGGCATTTGGACACTGCTGCAGAAGGGCAGGAGCATCAGGTGAGGAGCGAAATTCTGAGCTGTGTGGCAGAAAACTGATACTGGAAGAGGTTAATAGCAATTCTAACTCTTTTTTTTTTTTTCCCCCCCATTGCTCCTTGTCAGGGCTGCAGACCTGAGCGAGGCAGAGCCCACGCTCACCCATATGAGCATTGCCTGCCTGCACAAGCACAACCTGGTAAGATATTTTTTCCTTACTTCACTCATGCCTAAGAATGATAAAGCAGGGAAGAAAAATCTTTTCAGGAGATTGCCCGACTATGGTTTTGACTCAAGTGGCTGCACATCCATGTAGGAAAATGTGTCTGTCTTCCTTAGTGAGCTCCAGGCTGCAGCTCTGGCAGTTTTTCCCCTGGTGCCTTTTCTTTAATATGTTGTATTTGTACCTGGTCAAGCTGGTCTGGCCGCAAACCAGCCAGCCCTAGAAAAGCTCTGTTTAGCAGGAGGAGGCTTTCCACTTAGCTTTCACAAAGGTCTGTTCTCCACTCTCTTATCCTGTGGGTCCCGCTCTGATGTACAGGCTGTTGGTGTGATTTGGGACAGCACATCACCTGCTTAGAGCGACACCTGCGGGGTCTGTGTGAGCTCAGCATTTTGTTCCCTTCAAGGTGCAGCATGTGGTGTCTCAGAACTGTGACGGGCTGCACCTGCGGAGCGGGTTACCCCGAGCTGCAATATCTGAGCTTCATGGGAACATGTACATAGAGGTGAGTGGCCAGAGCAGGACAAAGTCACTGTTCAGTGGCCTCGCAAGAAGAGGATGTAAACTCTTGATTTGTCATTAGCTCAGGAGGAATTAGTACAAGGGCTTGGCTTCTGCACAGTTCCCATCTTCAGGCCATCACTTTGGGGTGAACTAGTTAGCAAGCACCAAACCCATTTCTGTAGCTCTTTCACTGTACTCACTGGAGCCTTCTGACTCCTCTTCCTCAGCCCTTCTCAGCACGTAGCCAAAGGCTGCCTGCAGCTCCACGTGCTAGTTGAGGTTTTCCAAGTTAGCATCTGATCTCTGATGATCCCATCTATAGCTTCCAGCACACTGTCCCCAAAAGTGCTTTTCGTCCGAGAGAAGTGGCTGGCTGCTGGCCTCTCATTGGAGGGATGCTGATGATGTGATGGGTTTTCTGCTTTCGTCCTGCACCAGGTCTGCACTTCCTGTACACCCAACAGAGAGTACGTGCGAGTGTTCGATGTGACGGAGCGCACAGCCCTGCACAGACATCACACGGGCAGGATGTGCCACAAGTGTGGGGCACAGTTGAGAGATACAATCGTCCACTTTGGGGAGAAGGGGACATTGAGACAGCCCCTGAACTGGGAAGCAGCAACAGAAGCTGCAAGCAAAGCAGATGTGATTCTTTGTCTGGGTTCCAGCTTAAAGGTAACTTTAGACACTCGGTGAAGATTGTTAGCAGCATTCCCTCTTGGTGATACACCTTGGTGCTCAGCGGTTTCCTCCCAAACAGACAACTGTAAACTCTGGTGTCAGGATTCGCCCACCATCTGTGATAGTCTCTCTTCCTCCCTCTTTCCCCTCCTGGTAATACATTCCTTTTCCTCTCGCTGATACGGTTCACAGTGGCGTGTGCCCGTGGCTGTGCTGATCGTCTCTGCTTTATGGCAGGTTTTGAAAAAATACCCACGGCTCTGGTGCATGAGCAAGCCCCCCACCCGTCGGCCCAAGCTGTATATCGTGAACCTGCAGGTGAGAGAGAGCCCTCGGCACTGGGCTTAACAGCTGTGGGCCAAGGGGCTATGTCTGTGTGAGGCCGAGCCCCTGCCTGGCGCCGGGCAGGAGCCCCTGCTGCTGCCCCGGGGAGGTGCCTGCAGCCGGCTCTGCTGTCGCCCGCAGTGGACCCCGAAGGACGACCTGGCTGCCCTGAAGCTGCACGGGCGCTGCGACGACGTGATGCGGCTGCTGATGGCAGAGCTCGGGCTGGAGATCCCGCGCTACGACCGGTGAGAGGCCCGGTCCCTGCGCGGCGGGAGCGCCCGGCCCGGGGCCGCCGGCAGCGCCCACCGCCGCCCTCTCTCCCCCTCCGCAGGGCGCGGGACCCCATCTTCGCGCTGGCAGAGCCGCTGCGCCCCGGGGAGGAAGGCACGCACTCGAGGAAGCCGGTGGCGCCGCCGCGGGAGGAGGCGCGGGAGGAGCCCCGCGAGCAGCCCCGGGAGCGGGAGGAGGCGGCGGGCGGGCGCGCCGGGGGGTGGCTCGGCCGCGGCTGCGCCAAGGGCGGCCGGCGCAGGAAGAGCCGCTGAGCGCGGGGCGGGGCGGGGCGGGGCCGCCGGTGACAGCGCGGCCATGCTGCGCAACGGGGCGGCGGGCGGCGGCGGGGCCGCGGCGGGCGGCGGCGGCCACCGGCCCGTGCGCGTCTGGTGCGACGGATGGTGAGTGGGGCGGGCGCGGGCTCGGCGCTGTCGCGGAGCCGCAGAAATAAACCGTGTTGGCTACGCTGGTGCCTCCGGCTCCTCTGTCACCGCGGCGGGACGGGGTCGGGGACGGGGCCGGCCCCGCGAGAGAGCGGCACCTTCCCCTTCGAGCTGCCCCGGAGCGCCGGGCGAGCGGCAGCGGACGGGAGCGCCCTCGGGCTCCGGCGCCGCACGGGCCTCGTTGGGGCCGGGCCGGTTGCCCCGGGCTGCGGCCGGTACCTGCCGGGCAGGGCCGGGGGAGCCTGGCCCCCGCAGCAGCGGGGCCGGCTCACTGCGGCGGGAGGGAGCGCTGCCGCGGCCCCGGTGACCGGGCGGTACCGGCGCAGCCCAGCCCGGCAGCAGAGAGACCTTCAGTCCCGGGACAGGTTACCCGCGGGTCCCATCGAGGTGCGTCCCGGTGTGCCCGGGCTGACCCGGCCCTTCTCGTTCCAGCTATGACATGGTGCACTATGGCCACTCGAACCAGCTGCGCCAGGCACGGGCCATGGGCGATTACCTGATCGTTGGGGTCCATACGGATGGTAAGAGATTTTCCCAGGTTTCACCCCTCAAATCACCCAGCAGC